CGATGATGGATGTGGCTGTGATGGCTGCGGATGGCTGCGATGGCGGATGGAAGGCTGCGATGGCGGATGGATGGCTGCGATGGCGGAAGGCTGCGATGGCGGATGGCTGCGATGGCGGAAGGCTGCGATGGCGGATGGCTGCGATGGCGGATGGATGGCTGTGATGGCGGATGGCTGCGATGGCGGATGGCTGCGATGGTCGTGGACCAGATGCAGCTTGGGATCTGGAAGGCGGGATTTCGCTGTAACTTGCCTGGTAGGTGGATCTCGGTCACATGACACTATATATTGAAAACAATCAGCTCAGTAGTTTTGTGACACACGTGAGTCACCGGCGTGGATTGCTGCACTCGCTGCGCACGTCTGCCCGTTGGTTTTGTCTGCGCACGTCGGATGCAGCGATTCGCTGGAAGAGCTCGGTGTGCGAGGAGCCGGAACATCAGCAACTTCCCTCCTCGCTGCGTTGGCTATTTTTATTTTTTGCTGGGAAAACAATCAACATAATAGACTGAAATGCACACGCATCTAATGCACCATTACGTGGAGGACGCCATGGAGGCAATAATGGATTTTCTCTGCATCCACGGAACGCTTATTTTTAAATCCTTCCAGATATAATAAGAGTTTTAGGCCATTTTCTTAAAAGGAATCCATGATGGGGGGGGGGAGGGGAGGGGGGGGGGGGGGCGGGGTGCTGATGCACTTATAACAAACACTAAAATATTATGTATTTTGTGAAAGTAGAGAAATGCCAAATGTAGTAAACAAATATTAATAAAAACTAATATAAATAGTAAGATAAATGTAAAAAAATACACAAAAACGACACGATGGCAGCTGCAATTTTTTATATTTCGCAATATTAGCGCAATTGCTGATCGAATCTGTGATTGTGATTTTTTTTTTTTAAAAATATGCATTTTAGTGTGCGGAAACACAGCAACGTTTTGCAAATCTTGTGTACAGTTTAAAAGATGAGACTAAGACAAGTAACTAGATACCAAATATGTCGGGTTGTAAAATTGTGCGCTAGCGCAAAATGGCGACCAACGATGACAGGTTCTATCGGTGATGCTTTAACCGCTTCCTGTACCCCCCCCCCCCACCCCAGTAGCCTATAAATGGCGGATAGAAAGCAGTGCCAATGCGGGATAACGTACCCGTGTGTTACCCGGCACAGAGGATCACATTACAGCTGTGTCCCGGTGATCACATGATGGTTTCCCGTGTGATTGCCATGTTCCGCTTCAGGTGCCATCCTGCATGATTGCCCACAGCAATCACATAGTAAACAATGTACACTGAAAGTAGGGATCGGTTCTCTCTGCTCTCACTGGGAGTGTGCAGCAGTCAGCCCCAGTCCCTGATCACCGCCCCAGTGTTATGGCAGCACCCTGATCACCGCCATATACCCCATACCAGCGTCCTGATCACCACCATACCCCATACCAGCGTCCTGATCACCTCCATACCCCATACCAGCGTCCTGATCACCTCCATACCCCATACCAGCATCCTGGTCACCCCCATACCCCATACCAGCATCCTGATCACCACCATACCCCATACCAGCGTCCTGATCACCTCCATACCCCATACCAGCGTCCTGATCACCGCCATACACAATACCAGCGTCCTGATCACCTCCATACCCCATACCAGCGTCCTGATCACCGCCATACCCCATACCAGCGTCCTGATCACCCTCCATACCCCATACCAGCGTCCTGATCACCTCCATACCCCATACCAGCATCCTGATCACCTCCATACCCCATACCAGCATCCTGATCACCCCCATACCAGCATCCTGATCACCGCCATACCAGCATCCTGATCACCACCATACCCCATACCAGCGTCCTGATCACCCCATACCCCATACCAGCGTCCTGATCACCCCCATACCGCATACCAGCACCCTGATCACCCCCATACCGCATACCAGCATCCTGATCACCGCCATACCCCATACCAGGGTCCTGATCACCGCCATACCAGCGTCCTGATCACCGCCATACCCCATACCAGCATCCTGATCACCGCCATACCCCATACCAGCGTCCTGATCACCGCCATACCCCTTACCAGCGTCCTGATCACCTCCATACCCCATACCAGCGTCCTGATCACCGCCATACCCCATACCAGCGTCCTGATCACCACCATACCCCCATACCAGCGTCCTGATCACCACCATACCCCATACCAGCGTCCTGATCACCCCATACACCATACCAGCGTCCTGATCACCGCCATACCCCATACCAGCGTCCTGATCACCGCCATACCAGCGTCCTGATCACCCCCATACACCATACCAGCGTCCTGATTACTGCCATACCCCATACCAGCGTCCTGATCACCGCCATACCCCATACCAGCGTCCTGATCACCGCCATACCCCATACCAGCATCCTGATCACCCCATACACCATACCAGCGTCCTGATCACCGCCATACCCCATACCAGCGTCCTGATCACCGCCATACCCCTTACCAGCGTCCTGATCACCGCCATACCCCATACCAGCGTCCTGATCACCGCCATACCCCATACCAGCGTCCTGATCACCCGCCATACCCCATACCAGCGTCCTGATCACCGCCATACCCCATACCAGCGTCCTGATCACCGCCATACCCCATACCAGCGTCCTGATCACCGCCATACCCCATACCAGCATCCTGGTCACCCCCATACACCATACCAGCGTCCTGATCACCTCCATACCCCATACCAGCATCCTGATCACCGCCATACCCCATACCAGCGTCCTGATCACCCCCATACCCCGTACCAGCATCCTGATCACCTCCATACCCCATACCAGCGTCCTGATCACCTCCATACCACCAGCATCCTGATCACCTCCATACCCCATACCAGCATCCTGATCACCCCATACCCCATACCAGTGTCCTGATCACCTCCATACCCCATACCAGCGTCCTGATCACCTGCCATACCCCATACCAGCATCCTGATCACCTCCATACCCCATACCAGCGTCCTGATTACTGCCATACCCCATACCAGCGTCCTGATCACCTCCATACCCCATACCAGCGTCCTGATACCGCCATACCCCATACCAGCGTCCTGATCACCTCCATACCCCATACCAGCGTCCTGATTACCACCATACCCCATACCAGCGTCCTGATCACCACCATACCCCATACCAGCGTCCTGATCACCCCATACCCCATACCAGCGTCCTGATCACCTCCATACCCCATACCAGCGTCCTGATCACCTCCATACCCCATACCAGCGTCCTGATCACCGCCATACCCCATACCAGCGTCCTGATTCACCACCATACCCCATACCAGCGTCCTGATCACCCCATACCGCATACTAGCATCCTGATCACCCCCATACCCCATACCAGCGTCCTGATCACCGCCATACCAGCGTCCTGATCACCGCCATACCAGCGTCCTGATCACCCCCATACCGCATACCAGCATCCTGATCACCCCCATACTGCATACCAGCATCCTGATCACCGCCGCCATACCCCATACCAGGGTCCTGATCACCGCCATACCCCATACCAGCGTTCATATCACCTCCATCACCCCATACCAGCATCCTGATCACTGCCATACCAGCGTCCTGATCACCCCCATACCCCATACCAGCGTTCTGATCACCTCCATACCCCATACCAGCATCCTGATCTCCGCCATACCAGCGTCCTGATCACCCCATACCCCCATACCAGCATCCTGATCACCTCCATACCCATACCAGCGTCCTGATCACCGCCATACCCCATACCAGCGTCCTGATCACCTCCATACCCCATACCAGCGTCCTGATCACCTCCATACCCCATACCAGCGTCCTGATTACTGCCATACCCCATACCAGCGTCCTGATCACCGCCATACCCCATACCAGCGTCCTGATCATCACCTCCATACCCCATACCAGCGTCCTGATCACCACCATACCCCATACCAGCGTCCTGATCACCCCCATACCCCATACCAGCCTCCTGATCACCTCCAAACCCCATACCAGCATCCTGATCACCCCCATACCCCATACCAGCGTCCTGATCACCACCATACCAGCGTCCTGATCACCGCCATACCCCATACCAGCATCCTGATCACCCCCATACCCCATACCAGCATCCTGATCACCGCCATACCAGCCTCCTGATCACCATACCATACCCCATACCAGCATCCTGATCACCCCATACCAGCGTCCTGATCACCGCCCATACCCCATACCAGCGTCCTGATCACCGCCATACCCCATACCAGCGTCCTGATCACCGCCATACCCCATACCAGCGTCCTGATCACCTCCATACCCCATACCAGCGTCCTGATCACCACCCATACCCCATACCAGCGTCCTGATCACCACCATACCCCATACCAGCGTCTGATCACCACCATACCAGCCCTGATCACCTCCATACCCCCATACCAGCGTCCTGATTACCACCATACCCCATACCAGCGTCCTGATCACCCCCATACCGCATACTAGCATCCTGATCACCCCCATAGCCCACCCCCATACCCCATACCAGCGTCCTGATCACCGCCATATACCAGCGTCCTGATCACCGCCATACCAGCGTCCTGATCACCCCATACCGCATACCAGCATCCTGATCACCCCCATACTGCATACCAGCATCCTGATCACCGCCATACCCCATACCAGCGTCCTGATCATCACCGCCATACCCCAGCGTCCTGATCACCGCCATACCCGCATTCAGATCACCGCCATACCACCCCCCATACCAGCGTCCTGATCACCCCCATACTGCATACCAGCATCCTGATCACCCCATACTGCATACCAGCATCCTGATCACCACCATACCCCATACCAGCATCCTCATCACCTACCCCATACCAGCGACCTGATCACCCCCATACCCCATACCAGCATCCTGATCACCGCCCATCGTACCCCATACCAGCATCCTGATCACCTCCATACCCATACCAGCATCCTGATCACCGCCATACACCCCATACCAGCATCCTGATCACCGCCATACCCCATACCAGCATCCTGATCACCGCCATACCCCATACCAGCATCCTGATCACCGCCATACCCCATACCAGGTCCTGATCACCGCCATACCCCATACCAGCGTCCTGATCACCCCCATACCCCATACCAGCATCCTGATCACCTCCATACCTCCATACCAGCATCCTGATCACCCCCATACCCCATATACCAGCGTCCTGATCACCCCCATACCCCATACCAGCGTCCTGATCACCGCCATACCCCATACCAGCGTCCTGATCACCGCCATACCCCATACCAGCATCCTGATCACCGCCATACCCCATACCAGCGTCCTGATCACCTCCATACCCCATACCAGCATCCTGATCACCGCCATACCCCATACCAGCATCCTGATCACCCCATACCCCATACCAGCATCCTGATCACCGCCCCCATACCAGCGTCCTGATCACCTCCATACCCCATACCAGCGTCCTGATCACCGCCATACCCCATACAGCGTCCTGATCACCTGATCACCACCATACCCCATACCAGCGTCCTGATCACCCTCCATACCCCATACCAGCGTCCTGATCACCTCCATACCCCATACCAGCATCCTGATCACCGCCATACCCCATACCAGCATCAGCGTCCTGATCACCCCATACCCCATACCAGCATCCTGATCACCACCATACCCCATACCAGCGTCTTGATCACCACCATACCCATACCAGCATCCTGATCACCGCCATACCCCATACCAGCGTCCTGATCACCCCCATACCCCATACCAGCGTCCTGATCACCTCCATACCCCATACCAGCGTCCTGATCACCACCATACCCCATACCAGCGTCCTGATCACCACCATACCCTCATACCAGCGTCCTGATCACCACCATACCCCATACCAGCGTCCTGATCGCCACCATACCCCATACCAGCATCCTGATCGCCGCCACACCCCATACCAGCATTCTGATCAGCGCCATTTTCACCGCCATATGCCATACCAGCACCCTAATCAAATTATAAAAAATTAGTATGGGTACAGTGTTGCATGAATGAGTAATATTTGCTCAGTGTGAGAGCGCTGAAAGATGAAAATTGGCCTGGACTGGAAGACCGTAAAAGTGTCTGAACTTAGTTCAGTGTCTGAAGTAGTTAAAATCCTTTATATCTCTCCTGTTTGGAGTTAGCCATTTGTAGGCATGCGCAGGCTGACCTCCCTATCCAGGTGGTGCTTTTCTGAAGGCGCCATGTAGAGAGAGCAGAGGACAGATGGAAACACATGTTCCTCTGGGGCTTCCGTAGGCGTCATTGGGGGAGTGGCTGTCCAAATGGACGCTGCTGCCCTGGACGTCTTTGCAGCCATCTTTAGTCTCCTTCGGGTTGGCGCATGTTTTTGTGTAGTGGCTAGGTTAGGGTCAGGAACCCCCTGGTTCGGGGGATGTGCCTACCGTGGGAAGAGGTTCCAGTGGAGGAGGCATAGATCTTTGGACAGGAGCCTTTCCACTTCAGGCACGACTATCTTCCAGCTGCCTCCTCTGCCAGATGCTGTCAGCCTCACATTATCGCTCTCTCTAACCTCTGCACAGTTCTCTGTAAGTGCTGCTAGCCAGTTTGCTGCCATCTCAAAGACTCTGTTACTGTTTGGTTAGGACTTTTGTAAGCCGTGTACCGGGGGGGGGGGGGGGGGCTCCCCAGGATACAGTGAAGTCACGAACGAGGAAAGCAACCCCAACACCAGCTTTTGCCACAACAGAATGTTACTTAGATGTGGCAAATAAAACACAACCACAAATGCTGGAACATACAATAAATTTACATACACCCAGCCCAAAGGCTGAGACCCTTGTGCTGCACAGCACGGCGCCCTCTGATGGATGAAGGTAGAAAGTGAAGTAATTCACCTACTGGGGGGCACAACTGAGCTGCCACACCTTACCCGTTATTACCCTACAGAGCAGGACTCAGTGTATGGGGGTACGGTATGGGCTAGCCTGCGGTGCAGCACAACAGCTTACAATCTTACACAAATCTACAGGATTCCCCCCCCCCATAACTAGTCCTGTAGCACGTGTCTGAGTATTCCTTCTGAGCAAAACGCCAGTCTGACTTGAGTTTGTAGGATTTTATCAGCTCTCCAATGTGAAATGTCACTTTAAGTGGTGGAGTCCTTCCAATGATCAGTAACAACACTTGTGGCCTGACACAAACAGAGACCCTAACTAACTAACTATAGGCCTGGTCGCAGTCTATAGGCGCCAACACTAAAATGAGGTGCGTGCACGATCTTACCAACCCGGGTCTGCTTTGCATCCGCTGGTGACTCTGAACAGAACAAATGTCTCTCCAACAGGCCTGCAATATTACAGCGTATGCTGCATTGTTCCTCGGCTCTCATCAGTTTCCTGGCAGAAATTTCATCAGCTTCCTGGCAGCAATCTCATCAGCTTCACCCAGCTGCAGCTCACATGGCCTCTTCATTCAGCATTCTCCAGAACATGGCTGCTTTCTCTCTCCTTCCTGTTCTCTAAACTCTGTGTGAAATACCCCACCTCTTCATGAATATACAAATATCTATGCAGTCTGAGGCTGTGTTAGGAAAACAGTGGCATCTTGTGGCTAAACCGTAGAATGTCACTCCAGAACATTTAGATTACTCCACACAATAATTTACTGCACACAAACAGTGTTCAAACAATGAGAGCTGTTTCCCCATCTCACACTTTCATGGTAATACACTCGGGTCTTAGATCTCCATGTGTCTTTGCTCCTTTCTGGATATCCAAAGCTCTAGGCCCCCCCACACATGTTAATAATGGCCTTGGAATTATTATTATTATACAGTATTTATAAAGCGCCAACAGTTCGCTCAGCGCTGTACATTACAATGGGAGACAATACATGCGGCAGTACAATAACAATACAATGTGATACACGAAGGGATCGAGGGCCCTGCTCCTTGGAGCTTACAATCTAGGAGGGAGGGGATAGTGGTACAGGAGGAAGTGGCTGTGGGGGATGGAGTGGTAGGAAGAGTGGAGGAGGTCAGCAATTAGCAGGGGGTGGGGTAGGCTTCCCTGAAGAGGTGGGTTTTCAGGGTTCGCCTAAAGGAGAGGAGAGTAGGTGATAGTCTGATGGATTTGGGTAGGGAGTTCCAGAGGATGGGTGACGCCCTGGAGAAGTCCTGGAGGCGGGCATGGGAGAAGAGACCAGGGAACTGGAGAGAAGGAGGTCTTGTGAGGAGCGGAGTGTGCGTGTTGGGTGGTACTTGGATATTAGGTCAGTGATGTCGTTCGGGGCAGTATGGTGGACAGCTTTGTATGTCAGTGTTAGGATTTTGAATTTGATCTGTTGGGCAATCGGAAGCCAGTGGAGGGATTGGCAGAGGGGGGTGGAGGAAACGGAGCGGTTGGTGAGGTGGATGAGTCTGGCTGCCGTATTCAGAATCAACTGAAGCGGGGATAGCCTGTGGCAAGGCAGGCCAGTGAGGAGGGAGTTGCAGTAGTTGAGTCGTGATATGATGAGGGAGTGGATGAGCTGTTTAGTGGTTTCGGCGGTAAGGAATGGGCGTATTTTGGCGATGTTGCGGAGGTGGAGTCTGCAAGAATTTGTTAGTGATTGGACTTGGGGCTGGAAGGACAGATTGGAGTCTAGAATGACACCAAGTACTCTGGCCTGCAGGACGGGCCTGATAGTGGCGTTGTTGGACGTGATGGAGAAGTCAGTAGGGGGTGGTGTGCGGGCTGGGGGGAGGATTAGGAGCTCAAATAGTTTCTCTTGCTCTGGTGTGCATGGTGACACCTAATATGTGTTGTGCAATCATGTTTATTTATGCATTGTTTCCATTTATTTTATCATAATTTACTTTATAAAGCGCTTGCTGACAAGCCACGGACCTGGTACGTCACCGGTCTTCAAGTGGTTGTACAGGGATGATGCCCGTTTTTTTAAGATTCTGCGGTTGGCTCTCTTGTAATAGCAATCAGAGTGGCTAAGTAGCCGCTGGATTGCTATTACATGCAGTGGGAGGGGACGTCCCCTTAACGGGTTCTCCTAACGCACCAGGAGACCCGAGCAACCGAAGAAATTCTGTTTGAGAATGTGCTGCACAAATACATAAAAAATTGGCAAAACCCGTCCTTTTATTCTCTAGGGCCTCTGCTTTTAAAAATATATAATGTTTGGGGGTTCTAAGTAATTTTCTAGCAAAAGAAAAAAAAATGTTACAAGTGAACAAAAGGTGCCAGAAATAGCCGGGTCCTTAAGTGGTTATACAAATGTTTTCCTTTTTTAAAATTCATTTTATTACTATTACAAGAGGGCTGACATACCCCTATGTGATGGAATATAAAGGACTGATCGGTCCTCTATACAGAAGCATTAGATGTTTCTTCGACCCCTAATGCATCTCTGAACCAGGAAGTGCTCAGAGCTGAGTGCTTTCGGGTTCATTGCTCCTGGAAGAAATCAAGAATCTGATGTTTCTCATCTCCCATCTGCTTCCCATTCTGACACCTCTAATAGATTTTTTGAGCTCCTGGGGGGCCACAGGTGAGTGCGGGAAACATGTGGAGGTGGCCTGTACCATTCAGAGCTAATCAAAGTGATTGGGTGGCTGTAATGTGCTTCTATTGTAGAGCCCCAACCTGTGGGGGATGTCAGGTGAGCCTCCTTTTGAATGTAGCGCTACCTCCGCAGGGGCCGCTTGATAACGCTGGTCCCCAGTGGTTGCCTTGACCTTGCATTCCTCCCGACACCTCTGACACTCTGGGTTCAACAGTATAGGATAATAAATCAAGAGCCAAAATTCTTTAATAAAACCTCTATATAAGACTTGTTCCCAATATACTGTTCTAGTATCCCAATATACTGTTCCCCAGGATGCCTTGCAGTGTCTGCTGGGGGCACTGGACCCAGAACTATTCCAACCGGGAGCGTATGTTTTAGTATCTAGACTCTTATATCTGGCTAGGAAATTGCTCGGTATTGGTTTGTAATGGAACCGACCCCAGACTGCACTTGGGTACTTCCGTTAGACTCCCACTTCCCCGTCCAAACACCAACCACAGCCGACCATACAAGACTAGACGACACCAATCTTGAAGTAAACCAAGAAGAAGACTACTTTATTTTAACACAGATACAAGATATATACATTCAGGGGACAATCCCCCCTCCCTGCATAATGACACAGGGCGGGACAATCCCACCCTCCCTGCATAATGACACAGGGCGGGGCAATCTACATTTAGTAACAAGAGACACACCAGCAGACAGTCCCATCAGGAGGGAGGGCTGCTGGAGACACCCCCCCCACCAAGCCAATACACAAACACATACATCCCATAATAGTTTGCTCCCAAGCAAGACACACAATAGAACAATGGGATGCAACCACATGGCATTAAACAATCAACAACCCCCCACCCCAATATTAGGACAGATCGCCCTGTACCCCTAACAGGCACAGGGTGACTTACACATAAGGGGGCTATGGGGAGCTGAGACAGGGGTCCCCACCTCTCCAAAGTGAGCTGTGTTCCATTGGCCCCCCACCCAAAGTGACTTACTGGTTATCATGGCTCCGCCGACTAGTAAGCAATGGATAGATTATGTTAATTTATTACTTCCATGGGAAAAGCTCACCTACCAACACTGCAATGCATATCGTAAGTTCCAGCAGGTATGGC